CAGGAGTTTATGACCGCACAGAAACTTCTTAAGGAACGCCGCTGATTTTGTCTCGTTGCTCCACAAAACGTACGGAGCTGCATCCATCTCTCGGCACATCGAAAACCACAACAGCCACCTCAGATGTTTACAGAAATGAAACGTGTAAAAGCCCGCGGGGCAGATCCATTCTCCGACCAGCCGGTTCTGGCGAGAGAGCAGCAAACATCAACACGGGAGTCTCAACTTGCACAGCAACGAGCAGAAACAAAGGCGTCCACTCGTGACAACCTCACTTCCATTTCCTTATTTTGTAGCCGCGGGCCTTGATGCTCAACTCGGAGCTGCGGCGGGCGTGAAGAAGAGGAGGGGAAACAAAAAACACCTAAACAGATCTGAGGTCAGCTCGGCGAGGGGCAGGGAAGCTATAAAACAAAACATCTAACCAGTGGTAGTTGTGACTTCATGTCAACAGAATCAAAGCGATCCAAACGGAGTTAATACGGACGTCTGAACTGTCAGAAGTAAAAGTACACGGTTTTCTCCCAGCTAATACTTTGGACTTGTGTACCTTACAGTGTTGAAAACTGAACCTTAAAGTAACGATGTGAACCTTTTTGAGGGCCTGAAAAGTATAAATATATTCCTAAAATATATTTAATCAGTCAGTTTTACAGATTCAACCTCTGTCTGTCTGTTAGCAAAATATCTTATAAAGCACCAGATAGATCTGAATGAAAGCTATGGATGTACACGATTACCCTTCAGAGTCAATTCAAGATGGCTGCCATAGCCAACTGTCCTTAGAAAACGCACACACACAAAAAAACTACAACTCAGTTAGTTTTGCAGACTGGTATGGTAGATGTACGTTCGATGATTATTTCACAAGAGTTTCTTTAAAATCGAACCAGTGATTCATGAGATATTTTGCTAACAGACAAACACGAGTGTTTGTTGCGTTGGTAAATGAAGCTCTGGGGTTCAGATCCGGGTCAGGGTACACGATTGGTTCATGATAAGTGAGGGACATAAACAACGCCATGTTGGGTTGGACGTTGGGGAACCAGGACATTTTGATAAGAAACAAGCGAGCGGTTCCGGCATAGACCCTTTTTGGACGGGTAGTCCCGGGTACAAAGGTTAGAGTCCCACATCAATTTGTCTCTTCAGTCCTTCTTTTTGCTGCTCAAACCTGGACTCTGAATGCTGAGGCAGAGGAAACAATATTGGTATTAGAAACGAGCTGCTCCCAGCGCCCGCTTCACCTCCACTGGTCCTCCTGCAAATACAACTGCTGGGGTCCACCGTAGAGTCCTTGTTCGTTGGACACCATGTCTCCACTGGTGACCATGACACCTTCCTGACGCAGATCCCAAGGGAACTGTCAAACATGATCCTCTAAGGTTAGCTAAAGGTAAAAGGGAGTGTTCCCCTCGCCAATGGGCAGGGGACATCCGGACCAGGACAGGGCTACGTTCCCATGTCTTGGAGAGGATCAGCCAAGAAGGAGGTTGTTGGGGAACGATGTTTGTCCTGCAGACTAAAGAACTGACGACGATGATGAATCTGGGGTACCAGGCGTCCATGGGAGGTACAAGACTGATCCATGAAACCTACTGTTCAGAACCGACTGTCGAAGGTACGAGAACAGGAACCATCCTAACGAGCTTCTACCCCCCTGAAGGTCCAACTGGGTATTTTTTCTGACCACAGGTCTGAATTAGGGTGCACCAATTGCAGTTTCCTGGCCGATCATCGATCGCTAATTTCTAAAAAGTCTGAACTGCCGATTCCGATTTTGGCCGATACCGATTTTGTTTTATAAGCGACACTGTCAGGTGTTATAAGTTCACAATGCACCTTCAATTTTCCAATCTTATTTTGTTGAAAAACATACCCTTGAACAAAAACAGACCCTTGAACAATATCCTAGAAACAATACAAACTTGTTTTAACTGGCCATGAGGTCGTTGCTCTGAAATATAAATGAACTTCAGACAATTGCTAAAACTAAAAAAATCGGTAAAATCGGTTTCTCATGCAAGTATCGGCCCACTTCCCAAAATTACGGAAATCGGGGCCGATAAAATCTGAATGCATTGTTTCTACACAAACCACATCTAAAACATCTTTTCTCACTTTCTGAGTCGCGGGTAGCTGGTGTCCATCTCCAGTGATCACCGTGTGAGAGAGACAGTGGACACCCTGGACAGGTCTCCGGTCCCTCGCAGGGACACGGAGACAAACAACCAAGACGTTTGAGCGTGAACAATTAATCTAACATGCAGGTTTAGAGTCTGTGAAACCAGAGTACCCAGAGAACACCTAAACAGAAACACCAGGAGGCAAACCGGTGACCTTCTCGCTTAGAGGTGACAGCTCTAACCACTGCTCCACCATGCCACCCTAAAGCAACACTTAAATCACTAAGTTTATACATAATTAACCCTCCTGCTACCCTTGGGTCCAAAAGACCCACGAGGTCTGAGTTTTAACACTGAGGCTCCGTGGTTTGACCCAAGGGCAGCAGGAGGGTTGAGTCGTGATAATTCTCCGGGACAAACGAACTAATGAACCGAAGATTGAAGAACCCGGTTATGCTTTTCTCACCAACGTCATCCTGAAATTTTTTACAGTTTATTTTTCACAATTTTTTTTTCACGCTCTAAATTTCTAAAACCACTGAAAGTTCGTAGAGTTTGTGACGTTTAACCAAACAAACTACGGTAAAAACATCCATTTTATTTAGAGCTTAAAAAGAGAACATTGTGTAATTTAAATGGTTCGTGTGCGTCGCTTGTCTTGATTACTTCATTTTAAAAAACTGTTTTTAGTTTGTTGGCTTTTCTTTTTATCTTTAATTGTTTAAAATATTTTTAAGACTTAAAACTGTTCAGTAGCTTCTTATTAATTAATATTTTAAAAACAATCTGCCAAACAAGTTTTTTTAATTAATTAAAAATTTTAGAAATTTGTTTAAGTTTATCCTAATTTTACCCTGTAATTAAACTAATTAGTTTTTAGTTTTAACTTTAAATTTTAACATTTTTTAAAATTCCATTAATGTTTGATGTTTTTGTTTTTCGGGGGCAGAAATACAAATCCATTTTAATTATTTGTTCTGCACAAATAAGAATAATAAATATCAATGTTTTATTGTATAAAACAAAGTTTAATAAATGAAAAAATAAACTTTTGGTGTCACGTTGCAGTTTTATTTCTCGTGTTTTTACTCAGATTCACGTTCAGAGAATTGTTTTGAAAATTCAAATTTAGAATTTTCTTGTTGCTAAAAGTAAAAAAATTAACATTTTGGAAATAAATAAAATTTCTGGAAATTTTTCAGAAAACTCAACAGAATCGAAGCAAAAAAGCAAATATTTTCATGTTTGATTAAATTTACTAAATAAAAGTTGCAGCAAACTCAAAATAATAAAAATAAAATATATTATTTTATACTATTATTTATATTTTTATGAAACTAAACTCACGTTTCTGTTATTAAAACACATCTAAACTGAATTCTTTCCCCTGAGGATCAGTTTGTGTTTGATCTCACCCGGACCGTCCCGGTAAAATAATTGATCGTTAAAGGAATAATTAGATGTTTAATAAAAGTTGTAAAATATTTATGATTTATTGTTTAAGTGTTTTAAAGACAAAAATGAGGAAAAACACAAATCTCTGATTCTTGACGGGGATTTTCAGGCCTCCCCCGTTTATTCTTATTTTTAAATAATTTATGTCATTTTGTTTAAAGATTAAATTTGTAAATATTTTTACCAAACTGCAAATTAAATTCTTGTCTGTGGAGATTATTAAACGAGGGGATTTCCCAGAGGAGAGCTGGACTCTCCTCCAGTATCACAGGAAGTCTGACGCCACGACAACTCCTGAAATAACTAGACGTTCAGCAGGAAAACAAACTACGGAGGAACTACTGAACCTCAGGACAGCAGCAGGAACTACTGAACCTCAGGGCAGCAGCAGGAACTACT